CACAGTCACGGCCACCCATACATCTCAGCGATGGTGAACAACGGGACCAATCATTACGATCACGACAGGGATGGCACTCATTCAGAATTGGCCGGATGTGAGTCTAAGTTCAGAGGCATAGATCACGACACACTTCTGGCCATCAGATACGAGAACGATGTGCTGACTGTCAACACCAATATCGACGGCACGGGTGAATGGAAGGAATGCTTTACTGTGAAAGGGGTTCGTTTGCCCACCGGTTACTACTTCGGTGTGACGGCCGCCACCGGAGACCTGAGTGACAATCACGACCTCATCTCAATCAAGTCATACGAACTCGAAGTGCCGCTCGTTTTGAATAATCCGCTCGAAGACAGGTCTAAGATAGTTCCGTCCGCCTCTATCTTCGCACCGCCGCGAGACCACACCCCAGACCCGCCCCCACCCATGTCTGGCTTCAAACTGTTTCTCATAATACTTTGTGCCATAATTGGAGTCATAGTCTGTGTTGTCGTCGGAATTATGGTCTTCCAGAAGAATCAACAGAACTCTCGAAAGAGGTTTTACTAAATCCAGTGATTGAGTGATCACTCAATTTAGAGACAAATTAGTAATGAATTTATTAAAAATTTACATCAACTGAGAGCTAGTTTTTACGTTTAATTGATATATAATTTTAAATTTTGTTCAAAATTTTCATTCATAAGTCATTTTTAACTTTTATTATCTAAACAGTAATTATTTTCTACAAAACCTATTGTTTTTTATTTAAATACAAAAGTTTTATTTTCATTTAAAGACCTCTTTTCCCCTTAAAACCAATTTTCGGCAATTTTTGAATATTTAATGAATTGTAAATAAAGGGAACGTTTTTATAGTTAATATAAATTAATTGTACTTTTATTGACTAATTTATTTTGTCGACCACTTCTCGGATTCGTTCACAACTGTAATGCATGTATTGTTTGAGAAACAAAACATCACTTATTAATAAATATTGTATACCTTTTGTTAATGTCTTCTAATCTGAAAATTAAATGAAATGTTAGATCGAAAATGGATTCAACACTCAATGCAAGACTCACTGCATTTGGAACTGTTTGGTCGATATCTCAAGCCTTTTCAAGTTCTGTCAAATAAAGCATTCAAATCAGTATTCATTCAATCAATAGTTTAAGTCATGTTTAACTGAATCCGTGTTTTCAATGATACTGTCATTTGCGGCGAAAGTGCGGGCGCTTTGGCTTAACGTCTAAATTAGAGATCACTTATTAAATCA